GAAAGCTGTTGCAGCTTTTTCGCCTTCACCAGATCTTCAAAACGGCACCTTTGTTAAGCTCAACAAGGCTTCAATTAATATGTTGAGGACTGTGGAACCATATATTGCATGGGGGTACCCAAACCTGAAGTCAGTGAATGAACGAATCTACAGGCGTGGTTATGGCAAAATCAGTAAGAAATGAATTGCCCTGACAGGTAACACTTTGATTGCACGATCTCTTGGTAAATATGGCATCGTCTGCATGGCAGAGCTGATTCATGAGATCTACACTGTTGGGAAACACTTCAAAGAAGCAAACAACTTCCTGTGGCCCTTCAAATTACCTTCTCCATGAGGTGGAATGAAGAAAAGATCACCCATTTCGTAGATGGTGGAAATGTCGGCCACATGGAAGACCAGATCAACAGGATTATTAAAAGGATGAACTAAGGTGTCTACCATGATTGTTTTTGTAATCTAGTCAGTTAATAAAACAGTACCTGTTTTCAAATTGAAATATTATTGTATTAGTGACTTTTGGTTAGCCTGCCATTCTCTGTTCCTTAATTATTATGGTAAATCTTGGTGTGTGATAAAATCACACCAAATCAATAGCCCACTGCATGCAAACCTAGGGTCCAGTTTGTATCTTGTGAAAAAGTTTACTAAGGACTTTCTGTACAGGAAAAAAAAAGAGTTAGAAAAAAAGAGTACATCACAGACAAAAGAAATCCAACAGACACATAAAAGGAATTCTGAACAAAGAATTATTGTGATAATCAGACAGAAAATATTTAAAGATATAAGTCAAGAAATTGTTCGTGAAATAAAAGAAGACTTGAACCTACATTTGGGAGGAGGGGATAATAACATGTCCCTGGGCAAAATAATCCAAAACAATCAGCTTTATAAATATCCTTTATAATATAATATGCTTTATAATATCCTAATAAAGTTCCTAGACTTCAAATAGAAATGAAAAATCCGTCATCAAGCAGGTAGATCAAGTCACTTACTACAGAAAAAAAAAATCAGACTGGCTTTCAGAATTCTCCAAATTTTCCAATGCTAGACAAAGGAAGAACAAGAGCAACACTATCCTTAGGCAAACTGTCTCTCTAGTATAAAAGCAACAGACAAACACTTTTGAACATGCAAGAATTCAGAAACACTGCTCCCAAAAGACCTTTTTCAGGAATCAACTACAGGTGACTTTCAGCCAACCAAGAGATGATTAGAAAAACAATAGTGACTGAACTTGAAGCAATATGAATGAGCCCCTCTGTAAGCAGATTCTCCCCTAGTGGAATCTTCAAATGATTGTAGCCCAGGACAGCTAGACTGCAACCTCATGAGAGACCCTGAGCCAGAGCCACCTTACTAAGCCAATCTTGGATTTCTGAGCCACAGAAATCATGATAAAATAATTGTTATTTTCATTTGCTAAATTTGGGGTATTTGTTAGGCAACAATAGAAAACTAAAACAAGGCTATAAAAGGGTTGAATTAAAAGAGTTTGTGATATTCTAGAAAATAAGGAGAGAATTTTTTAAAGAGAG